GAACAAACAAACAAAGGAAGGAACTAAGGAAGGAAGGAAAGGAACCATGTGGCCAAAGTGTAAGGGCACCATGTGAAAACAATCCATGCCAGTACTTTTTTCTTTGGCTCAATGCCAATTCAATGCCCTTCTTCATTTTTGAGAGTATTAAATGTAGCTGGTGCTCTCCATAATATTTATTGTAGATTACAGTAAATACCATAACTAAAGTATTTGGAATATAGTGGAGAAGAATTATTTATCCTCTTCCCTTTCTCCTCTTATATAGGAGACACAACCAAATCAATAGATTTTTATGTCTGAAGCTCTCTCTCCTTAAAAACCTCCTTGTGTATATTACTTACTACTATTATTGTGTCTTTTGTAAACATTCTCAACACGTTATCAACACAACTCTCTTCTACACACTATCACAATTTTTTTTACTCTAATCTTAACTCTTCAAACCTATTGCTACTCTTCTTCATTGTAAACCTAAAAATATATATATATATATATATATATATATATATTTCTATTCCTCCTCCTATTCATTAAAAATCACTTCTTTTCCTTTGTCATCATCTTGTACCTGCATTACAACATCAATATTTAGAAATGGAAGATCTTGTAGAACTTTGGAAGAATCTTAAATCCAATTTTGATCATCAAAACACCATTTTCCTTCCACGCACATGTCATAATTGGACACATTTATGTGTCTTGGATTTTCAAATTTAAATACTTTTAATAGTGAAATATATAGTATTATCTCATAATTATGATTATCTAGACAAAGTATCTCTAAAGAAGAAATGATTGAAAAAACTCTCTCTACATTTCCTCCTGTATCTGCTGTGCTTGTACAACAATATAAGAACATAAAATTTCAGAGTCATTTTGATCTCATGTCCTATCTACTTCTTGTGGAGAAGCAAAATGAGCTACTTTTGCACAATGCAAAAGTTCGTCCTATTAAAAATATAGTTCGAGAATCTCATGCACTTAATATTTCAAAGTCTAAAAATAAATTATATAAACATGAGAAATGTGCTCATAAGTATCGAGGTAGTCATAATCATGACCATTTTTATCCATGTGGAAAGAATAAACGTTCTACTATTAATTATAGTAGAAAAAAAAAATCAGAGATGCGTTCGTACCATAAGTGTAGAATGATTGGACATTTAGCACATGTGTGCCGTATTTCAGAATATTTTATTAAAATGTTCCAAGAAAATAAGAAACTATAAGTTGAGGCTTATGAAGTTCATACTATAGATGCATCAATGGATTTAATTAGTGTTGATGACTTAGAGGCTTATATGAATGACAAAACCTCTAATGATGAATCAAATAATACACTCATTGATTCTACAACAACACATACTATCTTGCAAGATAGAAAATTTTTTATTAAAAAATCTTTAACTTGGCAAACTAAAAATATGATGACTATGGATGGAGCAAATGCGTTTTGTTTCTAAGAGAGCACAACAATGATAAAATTACTTGCGGGTTCCATCATAAAATGTAAACATGGAATATTTATACCCTTAGCACCTCGGAGTCTAATCAGCTACTAAGATGTGCATATCAATGGTTATCACCTCTCAACTGCCATTTTAAATGGAAAAGAGGTTTTGATTCTTGCAAAGAACCATAAAGTTGTTGAAAAAGCTTTTGCTATAGAAAATGGTTTATATTGAATTGTGATTCAGCCTCTCATTATATTTAATTTTACATCATTTATCACAGAGAGTCATGTTTCTCTTTGACATGGACGATTAGGACATCTAGAATCTACATTATTTAGAAATATCATTCCATATATAACTAGACACAATTTAAAGCTCCCAGATGTAGACTCTATGGAATTATGTCGTGCATGCATATAAGGTAAGATGATTATTCGGCCTTCAATTTGGAAACTTCCATAAGAATTACCATTAATGCTTAAAAGATTGTATGGTGATATTTGTAGTCCTATTAATCCAATATCAAGACTATTTTGTTATTTTTTGGTCTTTCTTCATGCATCATGTAAACAATCACATGTTTCATTATTATCAATTCAAAACATGGTGATTGCCAATCTTATATCTATACTTATTTGTTTTCGGGCATATTTTCCTAATTATCCTATAAAAACATTGCATATGGATAATGCAAAAGAATTTGCATCAAAGTCTTTTGAAGACTATTGTACTGCAATAGGAATTGAATTGACATATTGTGTTCTATATGAACATGTTCAAAATAGACTTGTAGTGTCATTTACAAAGCATATAAAATTCATTACCTGGCCACTCTTTCTTCACACAAATTTACTTGCATCTATGTGGGGTCATGCAATTTTACATGCTATAGTATTAATACGCCTCTGCCTTTCTTCTCTTGAAATTATTTCACCACATGAGCTAATATTAGATCATATTCTAAATATATCTTACTTACGAATATTTGGTTGTCGTGCTTGGATTCCAATACTAGAACCTCAACGGCATACCATTCAAGCTCATCGACAAGAAGGCATACATGTTGGTTTTGATTCATCAAATATTATTAATATTGTTGTTCCATCAATTGGCACACTATTACATGCACGTTTGCAAAATTACTGTTTTGAAGGAAATGTATTCCCATCTCTTCAAGGAGGAGTATCCAATCAACTAAGAAATAAAGTACTTGTATTTGAAGCACCAAAAATATTTACAATGAATTCCAATCTTAGGATATCTTTGGTAAAAACTGAAGTTGTTAAGATTTTGCATCTAAAACGGATCGCAGATGAAACACATGATGGCTTTAATGATGCACCTAGAATTACAAGAGTTCCTATTAATGAGGCTCAGAATGCACGTGCTCAGATTGCAGTGCCATTGACTACAATACCTCAAGTTATAAGAACAACAACAACAACTAAAAGAACTCGTGGACCAGATAAGCAACCACATAAGAAGAAAGCTATAATATTGATTAATCTTGGTATTATTTTTCAAGAAATTCCTACTCATCCTGTGAGACTACCAATTCATGATGATATATCCATGCATAATGTACCTTCAATTTCATGTGAAAAACAATCTTAGAATTGGAAGGAATAAGAATAAATTGAATGAAGAATTATCTATTCTGTATTATGCTACAGATGGTATTTGGGACAGACCATCTATTATAGTAGATGAATCATTTGCATGTATGATTATAGAAGCCCTTTCTTGCGAGGAAGATGATCTTGAACTTCAAACCATCAAAGAGGCAATGCGTCGCTCTGATTGGACAAAATAAAAAACTGCTATTGATGAGGAGTATACTTCTTTGCCTTAAGATGAAAGTCTTTGGTCCAATTCTAGACACTTTATATCTCGCCCTGTGGGATATAAGATGGTATTAATATGCAAGCGAGATGCTGAAGATCAAATAATCCACTATAAAGCTCATCTTATTGCTCAAGGATTTACTCAACCATTTGGCATTGATTATGAATCCACATATTCTCCAATCATGGATTCAATTACATTTTGATATATTATTGGAAAGACAATTCATACCACCGTTGAGATGCATCTGATGGATGTAGTAATTGCATATCTATATGGTTCTCTTGATGCAAATATTTATATGAAAGTTCTACCTGGCTTAGAAAGAGGAATTCCAAATGGACCTACTCTAGGACAATATTGTGGTATTAAATTATGTAAGGCCTTGTATGGTTTAAAACAATCCGGACGTATGTAATATCAATGTCTTCGAGATTATTTAATTACAAATAAGTTTGTAAGTGATCCATTAACTCCTTGTTTGTTTATCAAACGAGATAAAATTAATTCTGTGATTATTGCTGTATATATTGATGATCTTAACCTAGTAGGCACTACATCTGCATGTGTTACAGCTACTAACCTACTTATATGTAAATTTGAGATGAAAATACTCAGAAAAAAAACTTTCTGCATTGGTCTTTAGATTATGCATCTAATAAATGGTAGTATTTTTCTCTACCAACTAATGTATATTAGACAAATCTAGCAAAGATTTAATATGATTGATGCTTATCCATTGTCCAACTATCTTGTATGAAGATAATAGTGCTTGTATTGCATAGATACAAGTTGGTTTCATTAAAGGCAACAAGACAAAATATATTGATCCAAAATATTTTAGTTGTACCCATGACTTGATTATTGATCAAGCACTTATAATTAAGAAAATTGAATGTGCAAATAACCTTGCTGATCTCTTCACCAAAGCTCTACCATTGTGCAACCATCGTCGACTTACTTATGGCATTGGTATGTAGCAACTTGCTTTTCTTGAATAAGAAAATTAATGAGCTCTTTAAAAATTAAAGAAAATGATGTTGTATTCTTTTTCCTTCATCTATGGTTTTGTCCTTAAATACGATAAGGTTTTCCTAGATAAGGTTTTAATGAGGCAACAATTGTTGATCTTACAAATTTTATATTATGTAAATATTATGATGAGCAAAGAAGAGTGTTGAGAGTATTAAATGTAGTTGGCACTTTCCATAATATTTATTGTAGACTATAGTAAATACCATAGCTACAATATTTGGAATGTAGTGGAGAAGAACTGTTTATCCTCTCCCCTTCTCCTCTTGTATACGAGACACAACCAAATCAATAGATTTTTATGTGTGAAACTCTTTCTCTTTAGAAACCCTCTTGTGTGTATTACTTATGATTACTCTTGTGTGTGTATTAGTTACTACTACGCTTGTGTCTTTCTAAACATTCTCAACACCCATCAAGCTAAAGCACTGTCAGCAATACATCCATCCCCACATCCAGAAGGCAAATTCAACCCCTGGTGCCAGCTAAGCGCATTGCCAACTAAGCTTCATCCATCAACTAACTACGTCCATACATCAATGCACGCATTCATCTATTCACGTCGCGGCGGCGTTGTCGCGACTGCCGCGACGAGGCAGTAGCGAGGAGGGAGGCCAGTGGCGAAACCACGCGGATGAACGCGCCGAACCACACTCGCTACCCCGAAATGGTTGGTGGTACTCATTTGAGCACAACATGTTTCTGGAGCAAGAGGCGGCGCGATTGCAGGAGCGCAGGTGTCGTTTGGGGAGAGGGGGGGAGAAAGGAAATAGCTGGTGCTGGAGCTGGACTCTCCTGAGCAGTGAATCTTTGGTGTTATTGTTGTAGTGTGGACTGCATCGTGTGAGAGCTGGGATTTCTGCTCGGGGAGTCTGCGGCGACAGCAGCTGAAGGTTGTGTGAGAAGCTACCCTTCGTGTTTGAGTGTTGCGAGTTGCAGCTGTGATCAATATGGATGCCGCAAAGCTGAGATGCGCGCATCTCGGGCTCCTCGCTGTCGTCGCATTCCTCTGCGTCGCCTCCGTCGCTGGTGAGCAGGGAGTAGTGGGGTTTTTGGGTTAGTGTTCATGCTATCTTTTTTTCTTTTACTTTTTCTTTTTCTGTGTGGGATGCAAGTCAGGTTTTCAGGTCGTAACGTGGTCTACATTGGATTAGAGACGCGCGTGGTCACGGCCCACTTAATGATTGTAATGCATGTTTTAGGGGAGGGGCATCGCTGCATTTCGCAGCAGCTATTTGCTTTTGAACCACCCCGTACGATGGAATCTGTGCTTAGAGTGCAATGTCTTAGCAATGTGAGAAATGTCTGGTTACTGGCATTCCCTGCGGCCCACTTTCTATTCGAAGTGGACCTCCTTTCCATTGGTAGTGTTAAGCTTGCGCTTGAACTCAAACAGCTTAAAGGATGCGGATTGCCTGGGGGTTGAGAAATTGCGGAGAAATGCTGAATGTCGGTTGGCTATTACTTCGACTTGTCCTACGGATACTGGTTGCGAAGTTCATTTCCGCTGGGAATACTGATCGGGCTATTCTGTCGCGCAGGCAGTGGAGAATCTGAAGCCGGAGCGATCTTCCTACCAGGGATTCCAAGCAGACATCTCCTTCAGACATTGCAACGTGAGCTTTTAGTCCCTTGTTTGTGTGGGTTTTGTAAGGGATGAAGGTTTAGAGTTTCGATACGGTGTTCGTATATTCCTTCGCTCTTTTCATTACTGTGTTGATTGTTGATGTGCACTGTAGAACACAGAAGAGATGCGGCTTAATATTCCATATAAACCGTGTCTTCTCTGCAATGGTAATTTGCAGCATTGGAGAACAGTTCGTGAAAACCTGTGTCTCAGAGATGTCATAAATGGATGCAGTGTAGATTTGAAAGCCAATTATATGGCCCACGGGGCTATTTCAACACCGTATCATATATTGGACTGGTTTGTCCTCGAGGGCTAGGCGCATTTTAGGTGCTTGTCGCAGTGTTACCACGTCAATGAGCACAAGAAGTGTACTGAGCGTATAGAGAGCTGCATCAACAGAGTAGAGATCGCCCTTTTGGCATTTGTTGCAATGTCTGTGAGTACTTGATTTGGCTCAGCATTCTAAGTGATCAATCTACACGTCTGTTGCAGTGGTTCTGATACATGTGAGTTTGATTGTGCAGCATGCCCCGTCGACTTTGCAAACCAGAATTATAGTATAGTGACCAGTGTGTGCAACGCCACCGCTCCCGACATGCCTAAATGCTGCAGTTCTTTCACTGAATTTGCGTGCCAGTTTGCATCCTACATCAACGACGAATCTACGAACTGTGCAACGGCAATGTTCAGTTACCTTAACATTGCAGGGAACTACCAGGCGCAGTTGTTTCAGGGGTGCCGAGGCGATGCACAAGGTCTACCTTGTCCACTAGTGCCCGAGCCATCCCCCAACCCATCCAACCCAAACAGCGCTACCATGCATGGGCCCCACGGACTTTCCTTCGTTGTGATGTTCTTAGCACTCATTGCACTCTTCTGGTAACCTCAATCTGTATTTTGGTCGATTTAACAGTTCGAATTAGTATTTGAATCATTTCTTGTCTGGTAGCTATACAGATATAGAATTTGTAGAACCCGATTCTATCTTGGTACAGCTGATTTCCTGGATCACCGTTAACTTGAAAAGTAGTGACCCCACTTGGCTCCAGGAATTGTAGAGTAGATACATGTGTTAATCCTCCTTCAGGAATTCCTGGTTTGACCTTCAATCTTGGCCCTTGATTGTAACGAGTCCACGAGGCTTAACCAAAACCAGATCAATAAACCGAGTGTTCTGTGGTCTGTGTTTCATCAACACATATTACAACCGAAGAACTGTTACTTTCCTTGAAGTATGTGTGGCATTTTTGTATGATATTATACATGGGATTGTTAGATTGTGCCGACTCGCTCAAATGTCCAAACAGAACGGCATGAGTTGAGGAAATGCTTTGCGTAGGAAAGTGCGCGCTTTTCATTAATTCAAGTGACCCAGAAATCTCCAGGTATGTTCTCTGATTTTAAGTATATTCAAGTTGCTTGAAGCAAGCTAGGAATAGTGAAGAAGCATCTGCATGTTTCAAATTAAGGTTGGGGAAATAACCTCAAATCATCAAGGCAGCCCGCTGTGTCACTGAGCTTTGTTAAATCTGTACTCTATTGTGTCAAGGTAAAGCATTGTATTCATGTACATGGAACGAAGTGCTTGTGTTTGGGCTGCTAAACACTAGAAAAGGGGAGGTTGATTGGGCTTCACTTGAAGAACACAAAGAGATGTGCAGCATTCTAAATGTTTTCTATAAAATAAAAAAATAACAGATAATCGTCATTTGTCTTTGAATGGGCTCATGTATGTGAGTCTCTTGTCAAGTATGACTTCAATGTACTATTTTAGAATATATTGTATTTAGAGCTACTCATTTTTATTTTTTTATAATATTTTTATATTTTTTCTGTCAACCTATTAGCTACAGATTATTTCTGGCTACATGCATGTACCTGACAAGTAAATATCTAACAAAGCAACGTCTTCTGTCTCATTCTTTTGTTTGCTTTTGAGTTGTGTACTATGTTCATTTAACAAGAGGAGGAATATTGTTTCATTTATGCAGTTTTTAATTGATGTTTGGCGCTTTTGTTACATATTACTATTTTGTTTTCTCTTTTTCCATACGTACATGATTTTTATTTATTTTTAATTATAAATTTAAACCGACACATGTATATTTTCTAACAAATAATAGAGTTCTTCTACATCGGCATCCAACATTTATGTGAAAATTTCCCAATTAATCATGATTGTATTTGAAGTATGCAATGCAATATGCTAAGAAATATTGCACTTAGGCTTCAAAAGAAATTACAAATATCCTGGTTTAAAATATTTCAATTAAAAATAGTAATCGAAACCAAAATAAAATAAAAATACAAGTTAAATATCTAATTCTAAAAAGTATTGAACTTGTCTTTTTTACAATAAAGATAGTGTTATATTTTTAAAAAACTTCAATTCAATAGTATATTTATAGCATAATGACTATTCATTTGTTCTGATTTTCTGCAAACACGATTTAAATTTATTTTACTGTCATCTGTTATTATAGAAAATTAAATTTCTGTACTCCTAAAAAGTTCCAATATTTTTCTATTATTTGGAAACTTATACAAGCATTTAAAAGTTTATTTTTTAAGAGGTTTGATTCACACAATTATAGATATATATATATATCAAGTCTTTTCAAGAAAACTTTTATAAAACATAATTCATTATAATTTATATTATACAGCACCAAAAGTTTAGCAATTAACTTTTTTTTCCCCTAATAGTACAAACAAGAAAAACAAGGAAAATCTTGATTTTTATCAACTGTTTTTTTAAAGTAATATTTTCCTTGTAACTCGATTTTTTTAGTTTTTTAATGTAGTTCATTTATTAAGCTCTATTTCTTGTAATATGATTATGCTTAAATAACTTTTAGTTGTTTATTAAAATATTTATGATTCTTTAGTACCCTAAATCATCTCATGTTGTAAATATCTGAATATAGTTTAAAGTTAATTTACTATCATAAATTAATTTTAAACTATATAACAAGTAAAATTATAAAATCTTATTTTTATACTTAATACTATCAAAAAGTTTGGTATACATTCATAAGTTTGTAAATACAATTATAAAGTTCTTCTTTGATTAAGAACATTTAAAGTTAGGTATTTTTCTAGTTGTGTTGAGGGATCCATGTCCCTTAAGTAGTCACAAGGTAAACATAATTACTACAAAACAACAATACTAATGAACAATGTTATGTTTGACTTAATGATAAAAACACTTTCTTAATTGTTGTCTTGCATGTGTTTGATTTGATTCACTTCTATATTGTGCAATATTTAGCTTACTATCATATATTGGAATATTAGTGTAGCAACTCTCTATTTCATGTTTTATTGATGGATATAGAAAAGACCAACACAAACACTTCTCTCTTAAGGATAAGACAAGAATAATCAAGTTTGTTGAAGGCCATGAGATTTATGTTGACATTGCTTTATACTTTCAAATCTTACACTTGGTTGTTTCTTTATTATAAAAATTTCAAGTAAGATCTTCCAAAAGCTAGAGAATACAATTATAATAATAACTACTAAAAGCAATAAGGCTACACATTTTCTTTTCTTCAAAGAAATGTTGCACACTTGACATGTTCAAATCAAAATTAAATGTATCTACTTTGAACATTATTAACAATATCCTTAAAGCAAAAGCAAAAATTAAAAAAATGAATGAGTTTTAGTTCAATATAGCAATATAATAATATTTGAGATGAAAAAAAAATCTAGCTAATTTTAAGGCATTAAATAGATGGTTGCAAAAGTATTTGGACAAGACATGAATATACAATAAGCACCATCAGAATGAACATAGCTCTTCAAATTTGCTTTTAACTGTAAGAATAACAACTCATAATCTAGTCTTGTTTCAAACAAATAACAAAATTATTCATAATCCAATCATCTTCGTTGTTGTCTACATTCTTATTCTTTTTTTTTTTTTACACTACATAATTAAAAGAATATAAATGTATTATATCACAACTACAATTACAAGATCTACAACAAGGTTGATGAAGTTACTAGCAATTCAATGTATTCAAATGTGGCCCATATGTTCTTAAGCCACTTAAGTTGTTTCTATCAAGTTGGCCATTATAAATATACACATTGAGCACTAAGGGCTCTAATTATATAAATGAAAATATTTAGATTGCATAATAATATGTGCATTTTCATTTCAAACTTGCATCTTTGTATGCATTGTTCTTATATGTTTTTTCAACCTTATATTTGTATCTCTCTCAGATTACTGATATGCAATTATGCCAAGATATATTACACCATAATAAAATGTAAATATATCAAGATGATGATATGTATATAATTGAAGTAAGAAAACAAAAATTTATTTTGAATTTATTTTCAATAATTTAAGGATTTCACTAATTTTAAGTTTGATTTTTATTTTTTGGAATTGCAAGCAAAATTTTATTTTTTAGATTTTTTAGATTTTTTAATTATTATGTATATTTAAACTGTTTTAAAAAAAATCCTATCAATATAAAATTGTATAGATAGAACAAAGCTTTATTTTAATTAAATTTTAAAGTTTTTGTATTATAAAGTTTTGAAAAGGTTTTTTTCTTCATCTTAAAGATCATTTATATATTTTAATACACAACTTGGTAATATGTTTTATAAGCTTAAATTTTTTTTTTCAATCACTCTATATTTTAAATTCTTTTGAAGTTTAGAATTTCATTCTTTTCAAATAAAAAACTAAAAGCATTGATAAATATATTTTTGAAATTAAAATAATTATTCTTAATTATAAAAATAAATAAATAAGAAAATAATCTAGACATTATAAATAGTGCTTAAAATCAATATTATTCATGATTTTATTCAAGGACCTTGATAAGGTTATCACTCTCCTCATGAAATTCACAATAATCATGAATATCAAAAAAAAAAAAAAAAAAAAAAAAAAAAAAAACTTGATAATTTTTATAAACAAAAGTATAGTACAAAATATTGCTAATATCTTTTATTTGTAAAATGATCTTTTATTTGTACAAATAAAAGATCATTGTACAAATAATTCAATGATCAGTCGCCACTGATCATTGAATTAATAAGATCTATACAAATAGGTCTCCAAGATGCTCAATCTTTCTTGAAGTGCTACAATGTGATGTGAGGAAATTGTACTAGTTGCAAAATACAATTGTGTGCAATAATTCTATATGTCCCTTGACAAAGTTAGTGTAGTTGATTGTCTTCACAATGGTACCTTCATGCAGCTAAAGAGAGGCGAGAGAAGAGTTGAACAAGATGATTTACACCATCTATAATATAGCATACTAGAGTTATGGGAGGATTGCAAAGGCTTTGGAGGTAGAAAAGTCAAGCATTCAAGAAGTGGTGAAGAGAAGGGATTCATGGAAGAGTCATGTTTAGGATGTTCTTTGCAAAGGTCGTGTACAAAAAATTATAAGACTTGTGAAAAGGAAAATAGAAGAGGTAATAGGTGAGAATCTTACATTATCTTTGCAAAAGGTTACAAGAGAAGCAAATATTGGCCTCTCTTTTTCAAGCATTCGCAAGATTGTTTCTACTAGTAGCTTCAACTTAAAAGTACAATGGCTAAAACTCTACTTGAGGTGAAGATAAAAAGAAAAACATAGAAAATTTGTTCATAGAAATCATAGATAGAGTTTGGAGCAATGGACTAGGATTTGTTTCATTGACCAGACTATTATAGTCTATAATCTTTGTCTTGCATAAAAAAGGGTCGATATAAGTCAAGGTGAAGAACTACATGAAAAGAATTTGAGACCGAGTTTCAAGTCAAGGAAGATAAATGTTGGAATAATTGCATGCATTGCAAAAAGAGGCAATTCTAAGGTAGCATTAGTGAGGAGGACAAAGAGAGAGTGTGTTACTCACTATAGACTTGACCTCAATGTTGTGCAATTTGCTGAAGAATTATACAAACCTTATCAAACCTTATATGATTCCTTTCATTTGTACTCTAAGTGATGAGCCAAGTCACACTTATCTAGCTGCATATGGAGCAAGATGGCACCAAGAGCCTGAGAATACAAGAATCTAGAGAAAATGTGGATGTGCACAACTACCTTCATGACCCAATTTTCTAGACCTCAATCTAATTGAGAATTGTTGGATAATTCTCAAATGACACCTTAGAAAGCAATTCTCAAAGAGAAAGAAAAGACTTCATGATGCCTAACAATTATTTGAAGCAACACAAGAAGAATAGAACCTCATTGATTAAGGCACCATAAATAAATGGATAGATGAAATGCCCTAAAGTTTGCAAGCAATTCTTAATGCAAATAGAGGTCACTCTCAATGGTAGCAATGTTTAAATTAAGGCACCATAAATAAATGGATAGATGAAATGCCCAGAAGATTGCAAGCAATTCTTAATGCAAATAGAGGTCATACTCAATGGCGGCAATGTTTAAATGGTATTCTTGTGGGCTTGTAAATTTTGTGAATACATGAGCTCATGTGTGATTGTGAGCCTCACCAAAACAAACTTGTTTTTTCATTGGCAAGGGTACAAAGACTTACTGCACACAACTGTACTTATCACAACAAAAGTACAAGAACATATAGAACCATACAATATTCACATCAAGAAACTTTTACAATCACATCTAGACATGAGTTCAGTGCCCATGCTGTAGACATGATGCTGTTGTTTGAAATACCCTACTGGATGAGCAGTGATACGTTGAAAGATGTGATGAAGTCCAATATGCCAGCGTCCAGTTATTTCACCCAAATATAATGGAATAACGTAATGGACTAATCTATGTGCATAGTTCTTGTGCTGGTGTAGTCGTTTCCACTGGCTGATCACACACTGAGCAAGATTCTGTAGCAGTTGCAATTCAAAAGAGAATGAGATTTTACACATTCAAGTCGCTTCGATAAACCAGGTTTGAGACGTTCAAACTCTGCTGTGAGTTCTGCTTCAAGACGGTAATTCTAGACGCTTCTTTCACCAAGAGCTTCGTCAGTGCGCATAAGTCAGCATTACAACTCAACATGCCTTAATATTCGCCAGGCTGTCCTGCATTTGACTAGATAAATCATGAATTGGTCGCAAGAGAAAAGGTTTCGTCAGACGTGACATGCAGACGAGAGAGCTTCTTCACCCAGTCTTACTACCAGAACCTTGCTTCTCCTCAATTTTCATCCCTAGATGAGCAGGACTACCTGAATCATCAATCTGCTCCAACTTGGTCTTTAATTCAACCATGGCATTTGATTTCGATGCAGACAAATTCTTGTGTTTCGCATGAGGTTTTTCACCGGAAGGAGGTCGATGCCGGGGCGGCATTGCAACACTTCCCTTCATTCGCTTACGAGGTTCTGTGTTTAATTGTTTTCCATCATACGAAGACCTTTTGGTAGACACACCTGCTCCCGATGCATCTGCTCGGCCTTTGGGGCTTGTGAAAGAGAACTGGGTAATCTGTGCACCATGTTCAGGATGCTCATCCAAATACCTGAAATACTCTTAGGACAGCACTGATATCAGCAGCTTTCACGTAAAAAAGACAAAAATTTCGTTCATGATTTCCACCACTTATTACAATCCCAAAAAAAAAGAGTGAAAATAATGGGGCAAGGCAAACATTGAATACAAGGCCACAAAGGAAACTAGATAGCACGAATATCAAACAAATTCATCTAAGATACAAACTCTTACTTCTGAACTTGAGGCAAGGAGCGTAGGGTCTTCCCACATGGTGTTGAGTAGTACCTAAGAAAAAGGTCAAAAATTGAAAAACGTTAGCAGACAATCAAAAGAACCGCCATCGGTGAACATAAAAACGAGACTCGTAAATACTGCTACTACTCTGACCTAGTACTTCTTTGCGAACTTTGAACATGACGCACACCAAAAATAATCAAGGCATTGGAATTCACAACAATCTCCAAATTGTTACAATATCGAGCAAAATATTCGCACAACAAAATGATCCCTACGCAATCACATCCCATTAGTCTAGTAAATTGCACAAGGAAGACAGCACGAGGACTGCAATTTTGAGGGTTAGAACTCACACATCAGCAAACTTCTTAGCGTTCTCGGCTCGAAGGACAACTCTTCTGGAAAAACCTTCCGGAGGACGAGGTATGTCATGTTTATCAATTGCCCACAATACGGTTGGTTCATCGTTATCAATATCTGCAGGATCATCGCAATTACTATTCTCGCGCCATTCCTGGGCTTGGACGCATATAAATGGCTGCTCCAAAATATGCTCCCTTAAAGCCTCATACTTTTCCTTCGTTGGTATAATCCTCCACTTGAAGCAGGCGTTGCATTGAATTGCATATATCTCCACTGCTGATGAAGCCCATCTGCCAAAGCAAGGTAAATAGCCACCAGACTGAAGCGTAAAGCCCATCGAACTATTTGGACCCTCCCCAACAGAAATTACAAGCTACACCTATTATCCTAACCAATAAATTACTTCTATTGTCTTTGTTTCTAAGGGATCTCTAATTCGTTAGAATCTGAGCTTATATAAATCTGCCAACACTGTCGCAACATCTTCCAATTAGTTAGATTGACAACTGAGAGATACCGCATAGACATACGACCCTTCGCAGAGAACTTGAGGTTAAGTATACAGTAACTGTACACTTAACTTGAGGTTAAGTGTATGCTAGATGTAGACCAAGTAAATCCGTTCATGGCAAAATTGTACCTAGGAGCATCTTGCCCAGTCTCAAGAGCTTCATCCTTCGCTGAGTGATCTTGGCTTACTCCCCCATCCACCTTGTCTCTGCTTAAACCGGAGGGAGAGCCTTTCTCTTGACACAATAATTTATTAGACTCCCTCCCTGCCTCCGAAGGGTCTTGAGCAGTACCTCTTTCTTTCAACTCATTATCCAACATCGCTCCTTTAGATAGGGCCTCAAGTAATGTCCTTTCCAAATATATCCTAGGTTGTTGTATCCTTCACGTCTCCATTAATTTGGGATTCAATGACGACCTTTGGAAGCGCAGGTGCCTTCATCTGAAACTTTCTCCTGTTCTAAGCTGGGCATCTTGAAGTTATTTCAGTCCGCTAAAATTTGATCTGGTAAGCAAGGAATACACCTCATTCAGCAGAGTTGAAAAAGATACTAGTTGTAGTAAGACGATTGTAATCAATCACAACCACATGCAATATCGCCACTATAATAACTCCGAATTTGAACCCATTCCCACACACACAGCTGCAACCTAAAAGCAACCAGCAAGCTAGATAAATAAATAATTGCAACCTACAATAAGGAGGACACCGTAAATGTGAAAAAGCCTCGAGAGGCAATTCTAAGCATTCCAAGGGAATTGAGAACGCAACGCCACCAGCACTAACAGGCTCAATGATCAGTTGTCCCCTGTTGCGTTGTCCATGCTAGCATTGCAATTCAAACCTTCACAACCACTGCACATAAATTCTTCACTACTGAAACATAAACCAACCGCAAGCATCAATTGCAAAAATCGGACAGGCAGAGAGGTCTGGACACAGTGTGTACAACACCGAAAGCATTGTACTTCTCAAACCAACACAAATGAAGCTAAATGCACAAAGTGCAAGTATTTGAGGCTGAAAAGGCACTAGTGGACGAAAAATCCACAAACACGGTTACAGATACACATTGAAAAAGAAAGGAGCCGCTCACCCTCGTATAGTACTCTGGCGATCGGGATGCATAGGCACCGAAGGCAACGCGGCCACGCCGTTTCTCACAATGTCAGCAGATCTTCACACCACACTAGTCTGAGAAACCCCACCGGAAACTCGCCTCGCGAAGCCGGGAGAATGACCTAAACACAACTCCCGACGCCAACAGCAGAAGCTACTGCCAATTCCATCAGACAACATTAAGCTAAGGACCTCGGAAAGGAAGTCAGAACGGCGAGTGAGAGGAATTCGAAGCTATGGCGAGAGTTGCAGAGGAGCTGGTGCGAGGATTGACGCCATGAGGAGGCCAAGCAAGTGTGGAAGCCATGGCAGGGCTACAGCTTGAGACCAATTCGTGGACAATGCAATGTTCTGACGTGGAATCGTCCTGCGAGTAGAGTGAACGATGACGACGGAGCAGAAAATGGAAAGCTTGAATTTGTGCCTAGTCTAATCCGGTTCCCGGGTATCAATCCGGGTATCAATACACCACACTCTCAACTCTTGGACGACAACCTGCAGCTCTTGGACGAAAACTGCCTCTCGTCAACGTCTTTGATGGCTTGTTGATGAGCGACACGATCGAGTGGGATTTCGTGACGAAATCCTACATGTATGTTTGGAAGTGGTGGTTTCTTTATTCGTTCATATTTTAGTAGTACCTTTAAAAAAAATCAAAAATCAAAAATCAAAAGCAAATTTTTATGATATCAACAGCTTTGTCTTTATATGATAATCGTATTGGTGAATTCATTACTATTTTCATTACTATGTGTTCAAAACCTTCAAATGCATACATATAATAAATTTTCAATCTACAATATGAAAATTCAAATTTTTATTTCTCATAATGAAAGATGTACGTGTGAACTAGTATCAAGAACAAGAACTCGATAAAAAGCAATTCAGACAAGTGAGCCTTCACTCAAAGAAAGGTAACAAAATATAAATAAACAAGTATGTATATTGAAAGAGAAACTCGAATGGCTATTGCCAAAGACTAGAAAACATGAAAACTCTTGAAATTAGACTGGAAGCAAGAAAGGAGTTAACAAGAGTGAAGAAGGCTTCACTCTTGTCTCTATATATACTATCTAACTAGAGGCTATGTGGCGATGTTTTATAAGATCTTCAATATGTGATGACTTTGTAGGACACATGCCTTGACTTATAAGGCAAGTTTTTCTACGTGTGGGCCAAATAGTTAGCTTGGTCTTCAAGCTAACAACATGTGTGGCACATGGCCAACTTATTGACCACATTTCTAATCCAAAAAGTCAATTAAAGACACCTATGAAGTCAAAGCAGCGTCTATAAAGCTTCTAGGAAGCTTCCATATCAAATACTATAGAATTAACTTATTTTTATCTACTTTTACTTACTTCTACCTATTTGTATATGTAATTACTAGCTTACATGAGTATGTCCGTGACATTACCTCCCCTTTTAGAGACGAGTTCTATGAGAAGTGATCATCATATATTGAAAAAATCTATGATGTGGCGAATTATATTCGCCACATATTCTGATCTTTGTTCTCTTCGAAGATGATTGATAAGGCCTCTCAACCATCGGTAGTCTCTCATACCAAGGCGGGAAGACCACCCAGTTATTTGATCATTGTTGAGGCCTTCATAACTTCCTTCAAATAGAACATTTGGAACACCATCAAGACTTGTTCCTACCTCTAGTAAAATCACCAAACATTGACAGTCCCTTCCCAAGTCGTGATACCAAACGCATTCTATCTCACCATTTATTCGAGGAAAAATATGTTGTTCTTGAAGATCTTCATCTCGATTGCGTCGTCTTGAAGGTTGTGATAATTGTAATATCTCGTCCAACAGGTAAGCAAATGAAGGCTCTTAAGTCGAATCTGCTAGTTGTTGGTTCTCCATCTTCTGAGCAGCACAACAACAAAGAAGCTACAAACAAGGATTGAAAGTAGAATGTTATCTTACCTAGATCTTGTTTCTTTTTTAAAGAAGGTTTTCATCTTGATTTTGATGGATGTCGTCGATGAAAAGCCTCCACCGCCTTTGCTGCATTTGCAAGATTCTTTATTGGCTCCCATGTGCATTTACTAATATCATATCCGAGCCAATGGACAAGATATTCCAATTTATTTTGGCCTCACCTTAAATCTAAGACTTCTTCTACTTCAAACTCTTTATTATTGTCCACTTCTATAGGAGGAGGTGAAGCTTGTCATCTTCTTGGTATGTCCATTGTCTTATATGGTTCAAGAAGAGACACATGGAATACTGAATGGATTTTCATTGAATCCAGTAGATGTAAACGATATGCAACTGGATTGATTTGTACAGAAATAGAAAATGGTCCAAGCCTTTGATAGTCCAACTTGACACAAGGACGAGTGGTTTTAATATTGCGACGAAGTAGCCATACCTTATCACTTAAGAGAAATGGTGGTTGTTCCTTTCGATAGACATCCCAATTGACCTTTTGTTGTTCTTAAGCTTCTTTTAACTATGCCTTCTTTGTTGAATGTAGCTCTGACAAATGAATTGCCAAATCTTTTGCAGTGGAATTATCAACTTTTGAAAAGTCAAAAGTATCAAGTCATGGATGATAACCATAATTAGCAAAGAAAGGTGTTTGTTTTGTAGAAGAATGTATTGTATTATTGTAAGCAAACTCTGCCAATAGCAAAAGAATTGTCCAATCATCTTATTGGTAGTTAATGGTACATCTTAAATATTACTCCAAATCTTGACTAACACGCTTTGTTTGTCTATCAATTTGAGGATAGAATACCAAAGATGGTTTTATATCCACTTTTAGAATCTTGAAAAGAGTTCGCCAAAATCTTGATACAAATTGAGTTCCTCTATCTCATATAATATCCTTGGGTAATCCATAATAGCAATAGATATTGTCAAGAAAGAGCTTAGCTGTTTCTTCACCTGTGATAGATTTTGTACATGGTACAAAATGTGCCATCTTGGTAAAACGATCTACTATCATGAATATAGAATCATAAGAACCTAAGATTGAAAGATCCGTGATGAAGTCCACAGAAACAGAAGATCAAGGTTGTTCTTGAAAAGGTAATTGCTGAAGAAGTCCAAAAGGTCAATGATGAGGAGTTCTTGATGATGAGCAAACATCACATGATTATACAAAATCTTTGACTGCATTCCACATTTGAGGCCACCAAAAATCCCTAGATATCAGCTCCAAAGTCTTATTGAATCCAAAATGTCCTGCTGTTGGGAAGTCGTGATGAGCCTAAAGAATATGTAAACGTGCTTCTCCTTTTGGAATATAAAGGCGTCCTTCGAAATAGAGTAGGTTGTTTTTGAACTCGAATTTAGAGGAATCATGAGATTTAAAAGAATTATTCTTGATATCATGAAGAAGAGGGTCTGAAGACATACTTAACTGGACTTGCTTAAGAAAAGTTAAATCAACAATCAATGTTGGTTTTATTGCTCGAACATGAAATTATTCCCGCTTCAAGAGAACCATTCTCTCTTATTCAAAAGCTACATCTCCTTCTTTTGGTGCAAGATAAGAATGTCTAGACAAGGCATCGAACAAACCTTGTTGTTTTCTTGGTCGATAAGTGATGATGAACTCGAATCTTGATAAAGACATGCTCAGACGAGCTTGACAACGATATAAAATACTCCAGGTGCTTGTGATCCGTATAAACGGTGATTGGACTAGAAGCGCCTTCTAGATAATGACATTATTCTTGAAATGAATCTACAATTGAAAGAAGTTCTTTGTCATGGATCTCACAATTGATTTCTGCTATTGAGAATTTTCTTGAAGGAAAGGCTACTGAATGAAGTTTGTCATGTGTTCCCATTTGTGATAAAATCGCATCCAAAGCAAAGTTTGATGGATCTATATCCATGAAGAACGCTTTGAAAAAATCAACACGATATAAGATTGGTGCAGAAACAAAGGCTGTCTTCAAAGATTCAAAAGTAAATTTCACTACTTGATTCCATTCGAATTTGTCTTTAAAAGTCAAACATAGAAGTGGAGCTGCAACTTGAAAAAAGTCTTTGATGAAGATCCAATAGTATTTCGCAAATCTCAAAAAGTATTAGACATCTCTTATCATTTTTGGGATCTTCTTATCTGTAATAGTTTGAACTTTCTTAGGATCCATCATAAATCCATCATTTGAAATGATGTAACCTAAGAAATCGACTTGAATAGTGTGGAATATATACTTTTTTATCTTGGCATAGAGTCCTGCATCTCTTAATTTTTGTAAGACATGACGAACATAAAGTTCATGTTCTTTGGGATTCTTAGAATAGATCAAGATGTCGTCTATATAACAAACCACAAAATTGTCCAAAAACTCTCAAAAAATATCATTCATTAGATGTTGAAAAGACGTTGGTGCATTTGTAAGTCCAAAAAGCATCATGTTGTATTCAAAATGTCCATACCTAGTTTGAAACGCAGACTTCCATTCATCTCTTTCTTAGATGCATACTAGATTATATGCTCTCCGGAGATCTATTTTTGTATAGATCTTAGCTTGATTCAACTGATCAAGAAGTCCAAATATTAAAGGTAGTAGATACCTATTCTTGATGGTAATCTTGTTGAGTCCTCGATAATAAATACACATCTACAATGATCCATCTTTTTTCTTCATAAATAGAATTGGAGCTCTTACTGGAGATTTAGAATGGCGTATGAAATTCTTCGCTAGATTTTCTTCAATATACTCCTTGAGTTCACTCAACTCATTTTGTGATAAATTGTAGATTGGTCCAAATGGCGGTTGTGCTCCTTCTTGAAGATCAATTGAGCAATCATAAAGACAATGTTCCAGGAGTGTATCCACATTTTTCTTTTCAAATACATCTTAAAATTCTTGATATTGGCTTGGAATGCCACATGAAGTCTTTGCACCGTAAAAAATAAGTGTGGCATAAATAATATATGGTGATTCTTTCATAGCAGCATGGAAGAAAGCTTTTGCACCTATAAACACAGGTTTAATTGACCTGGACTAGGTGTCATGGACATACTCATGTAAGCTAGTAATTACATATACAAATAGGTAGAAGTAAGTAAAAATAGGTAAAAATAAGTTAATTCTATAGTATTTAATATGGAAGCTTCCTAAAAGCTTCATAGATGCTGTTTTGACTTTATAGGTATCTTTAATTGACTTTTTGGATTAGAAACGTGGTCAACAAGTTGGCCATGTGCCACACATGTTGTTAGCTTGAAGATCAAGTTAACTATGTGGCCCACACGTAGAAAATCTTGCCTTGTAAGTCAAGGCATGTGTCCTACAAAGTCAATACATATTAGAGATCTTATAGAACGTTGCCACATAGCCCCTAGTTAGATAGTATATATAGAGACAAGAGTGAAGTC